TTCGAATGTGTAATATTAATTTTGTGGAGTGGTTTTATTCTGCTTCACGCAGTAACACACAGCCTTAAGTATAGACTGCGTGCGATTTGTGGTTGATACCTAATGAAGTACACATTAAAGCATTCCTTTCTGTAATGTTTGGGTAAGTTTATTGAGACATAATTTGTCATTTTGTTTCAGGGTAATGTGGCAGTCACTATTTATCACTTTACATTTGCTGATGTTTATTCATGTAATGCTGTGCCTGAGGTATATCTGAAAAACATCCCATGGATATACATGAGACATTAAATTATTTGGAAAGCCTCTTACTGAACAAAAACTGATTCCACAACTATATTCAGTCTCGTTAATATTTATGCGCGAAACATTATTGTTTTTTTACAGCTTAAAATATACAATTCAGTTAATGCTTTTATAGTTTTTTTGCATTAAATACCATAAACTGACTAAAGTAATAAAGGTACAGCAGGTAAGTATACTAAATTGTGTATGTACATACAGTACATATAGACTGTTAATGCAACATAAACATTTTTTTTAAAAATTGTTAAGCTCTACATTGGTTCGTTTATTCCTCCCAGATTAAATACTTCCATGTACAGAATATGTTTCTCAGGTTTCTCCGTTACAATAATGAAGAGACTTCATCTTCAACAACAACCTGCATTTATATAACACCCTTTATACAGGGTAGAGTCCCAAAGCACTGTAAATATTGCCACCACACTTTAAAGTAAAATATAGATTGGCTTAAAAAGTACAGTATGTTCCAAACGTGCAGTGATGATAATTTCCCTTATCAAAGTTGCTGCTAGTGAAAATTAAATTTTTTTACATTATATTTCTTGATCCATCTTTTAAAACGATACACAAACAGGAACAGGAGGAGGCCATTCAACACATCTAACTTGTTCTACCAGTTTATTAGATCTCAGGAGATATTTGAATTGCAATGCCCTGTCATCTGTTAAAGCAGTACATTTTTAATGTCGTAAAGTATTGTACAAACTGTTTTTGTGTTAATTTATAAAAACACCAAGCTGAAGGATGTTGAAATGAATTAACATGTCACTAGTAAGTGACATAATCATAATGAAAATGTGAAAGCGATTTTTTTCCCTCTCAAAAATAAAATTCTAAATGTGGTTCATAACCGCAAGACTCTTTGATGTTGAAGTTTCCAAACTTCAGGTCTTTCCTGACCTGTGCTTGGCGTAACTCATTTGATTGATAGATACTATTAGCTCATTATGTCCTTCCATCTGTTGTTCATCATGAAATCCTGTATCGTAGTAGAACAAAAATTTAACAAGAACTGATCCAGCTTAGGTGGCACTCTATCTCCCTAGATTGCAAGTGCATCTAATTGTCTTCAGTTGCACAGCAAAAGCAATGGGTTAATTGTCCTGAGACCACAAGATTGTATCATTCATGTCTTCACTTAACTTATGTAAAATGCAAAGCTAGTGCAATTGAGCTAATGGAACCACGGTTTTAATGAACAACCTGGTTGATATTTAATATGCAGGTGGGATCTCCTCTTTGTCTTTGTTGCCAGCTCAGTTTGCTCCTAATGTACCAGAGGTATTAATTGTTGCTTTCTAACAGCTCTGCAATGGCAAAGTAATTATTCGAGAGATCAAGGGAGGAATAACACACTGGCTTAATAATCAAAGATGCAGGTCCATTCAAATGATCCAGATTGGATATGCAATAATTGGTTGTTATTTCTATCCAGTAGCAGGTTCCTAGTGAACCCTTACAGTCTATGTAATATTTCTGGGCCATTGATGGCCAGATAATGAGCATAACTTCTACGTCAATTGAATGTGCAGGCAAAATGCATCCCATAATCTGGTCTTTTTGAAATGAAGTTAATGCACTTAGACGGTGGACAGATGTTTGTGAAACAGCAGGCGATGTCACTAAATGCAATTAATGTACCTTTTTGCTAAAAGGAAGATCTATAAATAGCTGTATTCTTGCAGTAAATAACGTGAATCAGAAAGGGATTCAGTGTAATATTGACCTTTTTTTGTAAACATCTCCACAGTATGAAACAGTAAATATAAAGAAGTATGTTCTGGTTAATTAACCCATATATTATAGCTAGTGATTAGGAATAATTTTACTTCTGTTGTGTTGAATAGATAAGACATACTGCTATTACATTTCACCAACAAAATAGTCAATTCACTTTACAATATATTCTGTGAAGTGCTTTGAGACGTCTCAAAGTCATGATAAGGCGCCATATCAAAAATGCAAGGATTATTTATTATTACAGTTGCATCCTCCTATGTATATACCCAGTGTCTTTGCTTAGAAAACACTTATTAAGGCAACATTTCTTATCAGGTAAATCAGATTCATACTGTTGTCCTTCAGCATGATTTTTATTTTTGACTCATTCCCAAGGCCAGTCTATAAATTACTCTACTGGACTCTGGTGGATTGGATTCAGATGCTTGAAATATAGCAAATTTTAATATATTACTCTGTTCTGATATCATGGAAAAATTCAATTTGTAACATTGGATCTGGAAGATGCTATTACTTATTCAATTCATTTTTGAATGCTGCCTACAACCATATCATTAGTGCATTTGTGGATTGCTTCAGCAAATAAGGAATACACTTTATCAATAAATCAAGTATAACAAGAAGAAAATATACTATGGACGGATCAGTTTCTTTGCAGTCATGAAGATTGGCTTCTAAATTTGACTTAACTCAATCCAGGAAAGAAGTCGCAGATTTGCTTTCACACAGATTCTAAAAAAACAATCAGAGTATTAAAGACAGGTTACCTCTTTCCTATGTAGCTTTGTTTTTAACATTGGTGTCTCTAACCATAGCTGGATGGATAAATTGCATGTATCTGGTAGTTGCTACATTGAGTTGAATGTTTCTCTCTCCAGATATTAGATTTCTTGAATTGAGTAAAACAAATCACCCTTCCACTTGAATTATACCATGAAGCTCTCCGAAACAGCAACATAATCCGAGCCTTGGCATCAAAAATCCAATTAAATGTAACTGATTGACTTCACTGTTTTATCGAGTCGATTTTGAGCGACACAGAAGACCGATTTTTCTGCTTCTTTTATTATCTCATTTTGAAAGGCTGTTGATTTTTTTTCTAATCCAGACATTTCATAATAATAATAATAATAATCGTTGCATTAGATTGAGAGCTTTATCACGTCGTTGAGACATTTCAAAGTGCTTCACAGAACATATTGTTAAGTGGATTGATTGTGTATTCATGATCAGGAATATTAAATTAAAAGAGAAATAAAAGTTTTTCCTGTTCTTATTCTCAGCAAAAGGTACGGTTTGTGTGATTGTAATCTATATTTGGAAACATAGGAATTGCTCGCCAAAAAAAACCAAGATCCATCTAGTTTGCCTTCTATCATCATGGTAGTCACATGGCTACAATAATAATGGAGATGTTATAATAATAATAATAATCCTTGCATTTGATATAGCGCTTTTCACGTCGGGAGGACGTCCCAAAGCGCTTCACAGAACACACTGTAAAGTGAATTGACTGTATATTTGTGGGCGAACGCGGCAGCCAATTGCGCACAGCAATGTCCCACAAACAGTCGTAGATTGAAAATGACCAATTTTTTTTTATTTTCTTGGGGGGGTTTTGGAGGGATTATTATTAGGCTCTGTGTGGAGTAAGGAAACTTGCCCAAGGTTTCGCCCTCTGCCTGGAATTGAACTCAGGTGAGGTGAGGAAAGCCAGTGATGGAAAGCTTTGGGCACCATAGGTCCAAAGTTATCTGTTTCTCCCAAACATACCACATTCGCCATACCCCGTGACTCAAATTATTCATACTCTGTATCCCAAAATATTATTATTTTCCGACTGTAATCTGTATAGTGTTTGGTTTGAAGTAAAGTCAAATTAATTCAGCCCAATTTAGGCTTCCATTCATAAAGACGACATCCAAGATTTTGCCATCTGCTGTCTGTGGGTGTCACAGAGATGGATATCATTTTAGAAGATAATTTTAGTTCAGGCAATTTTGGATCATACTCAGAAAAAAAAAAACAATTTACGTGAATACAAAGCTGTCAGCTTCCATTCATTATACTGTACCTGGTGCAAAGTACCATATTTGGAGATGCATTGAATTAATCTCTGGTAAATCCCAATTTTGTCTTATGTAATGTCATGATCTTTCCTCTTTCACGATGTCCCTTTTTCAGGTTTAGGCTGAAGGGTCACCTTTGGTTCACTGCCTGAGTCACAGCTAACCTATTGCAGGGAAGGCTTTGTGGGACTATCTTCCCTGCACAGGAGACCACCAATATTTATTCCAAAACAAGAATACTAATAAGAAGATGCTTTGTAAATTGGTATTTACGTGAGACTGTCTACATCGTTATGGGGTGTGAAGTGGACATTGCAGGGAATTGAACCATAAGTCATGTGAGACCAGACAGACTCACAGTCTCGTAACAATTTCAGAGGTTATATTGGTGCGTAAATATGAGTTTACTGCGTGTAAACAACATCAATAAAGTGGGAGGGAAAAAAAAAAACAGTACACAGACTCGCAGAATCGTGTGAATTTGATCGTACGCGTGTGGGATCCACTCCAGGTGAGAGTCAGGATCTCGATGCACCTTTTTTTTTGTGGGGGGGGGGTGTGGGGGGGGGTGTGTGTGTGTGTGGCGGGGGGGGGGGGGGAGATCACCTGCGTTTTATGAATGGATGCAGCATCCTGTGCGCATGCACTGTTCATTTTGTCTCTCCTCCTCACTCATCTTCTGGGAGGTCGGAGCTCAGTCGAGATGAAGGGGAGAGAGTGGTGACACATCATCAGCGATCTCTTATCCGTCTCCAGCACCCACCACCCCCCCACCCACACCCCCCACCCCATCCCACCCCCACACCCCATCCCACCCCCACACCCCCTGTTTGCCTTGTTCCCCTTCTCCAGGGATCCAGAATAAAACGTCTCTGATCCACCCCCAGTGTCTCGCCACCAGTCTGGACAGGAGGAATGGATGTAACCTGTGCCTCACCATCACTGGGCAGTGGGCACCGACCTGGGACTGTGTGAGCAGCGCATCCCGAGCCCCACCATCAGGACCTCAGGCAGCGCAGGTAAAACGGCACTGCACTGTCGTCGTTTCAGTGCACCTCCTGTTTGCTTCGGGGGGAGGGACGTGGGTCAATGTTTTGCTCTCACAGCAAAGGGAAAGGGTTTGATTTGGACTTCCACTTCGGAGAATGGGGGATTTATAGTAACCCACTCGCACCCTTTCCTTTATTGTAGGATCGTTTGTGTCGTTGTTTTTTTGCATTGGATCGTTTTTATTCACTCATTTATGTATTGGCGTATTTTTATTCATTCATTCGTTTATTTATTCAGTGGGTCGCCTCGTTTCAGGTGGTTACATGTACCAGATCCAAGCGAGGTTTTGCTTTCACTACCACAGACTTTATTACTACGTGTCATCAGCACCAAAAAGCACATCAGGTAAAACCCAATTCTGTAGCATTTGGACCGGTTGAATTGCCAAAGTGGGTGTTAAGTGCACGTTTTCACATTCAGTTCTGACCACAATCCTGGCTTGAAGGAGACCCGGATCCCTGTGTCTTTTATGCTTCCACCAAAATACATCAAACATGTTGGTCACGGCCATCGACTGAGAGAAAGGGGGGAAAAAAAATAGCTGATTGGTGATGAAGTTACAGGACATCAGCTGATGGAGAGACGTGCTTCAGCACACATTTAACTCCTCGTTTGCTCCTGAGGACAGTGGAGAGAGTGTCCCTGCTCACCAGCTGCCTCTGACTGGGATAGCATTGCACTGCAGCCTCTGTGCCACTGGCAGTCACCAGGTGCAATGTTGCAGGAAGGTGATTTCTTTTGTGCAGTGCACAAAAATAACGGGGAATGGGGAATCGGAATCAACTGCTCGCCATCCCACCCCTCACAGAAGCTTCTGCGCATATTTAACACAAGTTGGCTTCTTTATTCCCACGTCTTACTTTAATTTGAGGCTTACGTTTAATGCACAGCCATAGTTTCGTCGTGTGCCTTACAAAACTGGGAGCATTTCTCCTGAATATCCGCGTTGCTCTTTTCTGCAGAATGTGTTAACCCCCTGCGGGTCTCTCTCTCACCTGTTCTGACATTAGAGTTTCCATTAAGAATCCTGAAGCAAATTTACACACACACACACACACACACACACACACAAAAGCGTTTTTATCACTATTTGCCTCTAACGTTTTAGGAACGAGAAAACCAATGCTTATTACCAGGCGGTTGTCATACCTATATCCTGCAAAAAAAAACAAAAAACAAAAAAAAAAGTCAGGAAGAATAATGCAGTTTGCAAAGTAGACGACGAGGTTCCAGGTCATTTATTTTGAAACCCAGTGTCCATTCTTCGGATTGACCACCAGACTCCTCTGCCCTACACTAGTCCTTGTGGGCTGAGAGCTTCACTGTTATGTCGCCACTTTGCGGTAAAGCACAGATAACGCAGCACATCAATTGTGTGTATATATATTTTTTTTTTGGGGGGGGGGTTAAATGGCTCCTCGTGTCGTTGTGTGCGAGGTTGAGGAGCAAAAGAAACAGGGAGAGCAGTGCAGGTGTGGATCCATCCTGTCCTCGAAATTGCCCCCAAACCATTCAATTGCCCAGATTTTTGCAAACCAATTAAGATTTTGCAAATCAATTAATAAATAGTTGATGTGGCTGCAATGTGTGTGTGGGGGTGGGGGGAGGCTGGGGGGTGGTTGTAAGTCTGCTTCTTTTTCATCAGAGAACGATAGGGGTGGGGGGAAAAAAGCATTTCCCTGCTCCTGTGTGCAGCATCGACATCACTGTGTCCCTGTCTTCATCTCCTCGCCAGTCAGTCCTTCCCGAGCAAACCCAGCACCGATGGTGAGAGGTGTGGGCGTGTGCTCCTTCGCTGCACTGCATATGCAAACTGGAGATCAGTGCAAAGCTCAGTACCAGTGCTCGGAACAGATGCATCTAAAAATATGGAAATATCCCAAATTTAAATAGGTTGCAGTGTGGAGCTCAGTCTGCAGGGAGCTCACAGTTACAGCGGTTGAACCCAACAGTGCTGTCATAACGTATGTATACATATATATATATATATTATATACACACACAAAGGGATCAGCAACACTGGAAATGTCCAGTTGACACCATCCCAGCATTGCCCATCTCCGGAGAACACATCAGTTGCTGAAAGTACATTTCTGTTGCCTGGAACAGGAACAATTCATATGGAATATGGATTTGCTGATAGATTCCACTCTTTTAGGTGTGATTTCTCTCTCTCTCTCTCTCTCTCGCTCCCTTTCTTGCAATGGGAACCGAGTAGAGCAGAGAACCCGACTGGTGCAGTGCTGGTTACATTGATTTATTTGCAGACCTGAGGTCCCAACCCTCGTGCAATCTGGAGGAACATTGGAAGGCAACAAAGTTTTGGGGAGTGGAACCTGAGCCACGAACCTGTTGCGAGCGATTGAATAACACGTTAGGAACTAAAGCGGTTTTAGAAGAGGTTTTGGTCTTTGCTCTGTTCGCCTTCACTGCATTTATAAGTCGTGCACATCGGAGCATTTAACGTAAGACCCACAATCAATCAATGCATTGATCCACAATTGACGCCCCCAATGCATTTCTTTCCACGAAAAATGAGCAGTCCCAGTAAATTATCTCCTTTGCAACGCATGATTATTTTATGGGTTGTTTAAATTGTTCAATTTTACGGCAGGGAAGGGGGTTTCTAAACCTATCACGTTTGGAAAAATAACCATCACTGTCACTTAACACGCCGTTGATTAAACGGAATACAGAATTCAGTGAAATAGCTAAGCATGAGATATTTAATTATATTTTACAGAGGAAACTGTTTTATTTACACGAAGAAGCTCACAATTTAAGGATAGGCTCGTTTTTTCTACAAAGCATATGGGAAAAAAAGCAAAAGTGCAGTATTATATAGGCGAGGGGATGGATGGATGCATTCAGCTCGAATTGAGGCAGAGGGTGTAATTTACCTTTTAGATAATGCACACAATGATGCAGTAGAAATGAAAGGAAAATGGAACATTGCGAATGGTCCTTTTAAATGCACATAATTCCACACGTCCATCAGTTCAGAAGCTGCCCATGTGAAGTCCTGCAAAACTGCTCTGTACAATCTCTTTCCATGTTTTGGGTTTGATTGGCTGCACCAATCTCAACAAGTGCAGGAGCAATGGACATTTGCACTTATCAATGGCCTCTGGCTCTAAATGAAGCACTCCCTGGCATTCACACTGAAAAACACAGCTCGAATTGCTAATTCTGCACTGAACTTGAGCATTTTATTGATGCCATTTGTAATGATAGTAAACGTGAGCTCATACTTACGATGTAACCGAATGCTCACACTGTCTTAACATTAATGAGGGAAGTAACAAGAAGTTGACAGAAAATTAACTGTTTATTATAGACACCAGGCGAGCGTTTTCTGAATGGTTTGTTTATCCTGAATGCATTTTCTAACTTTCTATTTATGTTATACGGCGTATTTGCTTATGGTTTGGAGTTTTAGATAAATTGTGCGAATTCTGAAACATGTTTTGCTCTTATAGCTGAATTCATTACCCTTTTTTACAATAACAACAGCTTCAGTTAAATAGCTTTCACAAAAGGACCTGCCCATATATGTACCTCAGTGGGTGTAACACGCACAAATAAATGTGCAAACAAACTATATATGTCAGAGGTAAAAAAAAACTTAAAACACTATAAAGTTTTTTTTTGTGTGTGAAATTTGCTACAGGCCAATTCTTCTGAGAGTGAAAAAAAAATGGCATCTTCTACAAAGCCCACATCCTCCTCTAAAAAGAGAGTAAAAATCCACCCAAACACAGTGACTGTGAAATACACATCTCACTACCCACAGCCTGGGGAAGAGGGTTACGAGGACATGTACGAAGACGGTGGGAATTATGTTGAAGATAACCCAAAGAAAAAACTGTTGGGTGCCACTAAGAACCGAGGGAGGACATTCTTTGGGACGATCGCGACTTCATCAGAAGGACAAAAAGACACTGAGATGGGACAACAACCACAACCACCACAACAACAACAACCAGAAACCCCTGGGCAAAGTGCAACCCCTGCGTCCAAAGTAACTTGGGCGGCTTTGTTTGGTGCGGCTTTAGCTCATGGTTGCGTGGCGTTAATAACACGACTTGCTGCTGATCGCTCTAAAGTGCCATCGCTGGAGCTCCTCTTCATCCGGTCTGTGCTCCAGATCTTCTCTGTTCTGGTTGTCTGCTACAGTGGTGAGCAGCCTCTCGGACCGAAGGGCTACAGAATGCGCCTGTTCCTCTATGGGGTGACAAACGTTATCTCCATCACCTGCGCCTACACGTCCTTTGCTATCGTTCCCCCGAGCAACGGGACCATCATGTGGAGAGCCACCACCACTGTCTTCAGCGCCGTGTTGGCTTTTCTGTTGGTTGACGAGCGATTGGGCTACTCTGACATTGTCACCGTGGTCTGCAGCGTCTTTGGACTTTGCCTGGTGATGATCCCCAACATCGTCGATGAAGACAATTCCTACGTGGGCATTTGGAAGGAAGCCTTTGGTTACACCATGACAGTCATGGCAGGGTTGACCACAGCGCTGTCCATGATCATTTACAGAGCTATCAAAGAAAAAGTTAGCATGTGGACTGCGCTCTTTACCTTTGGTTGGACAGGTACAATTTGGGGAGCGTCCACTATGTTTATTCTTCAAGAGCCCATCATACCATTGGATGGAGAAACCTGGGGCTATCTATTTGGGATCTGTCTCTGTTCTACTGTGGCTTTCCTAGGTGTGTATTATGCATTAAACCGGTTTCACCCAGCGTTAGTTAGCACGGTTCAACATTTAGAAATTGTAGTGGCTATGATTCTCCAGCTGTTGGTACTCCGCATGTTTCCATCAGTTTATGACCTTATTGGTGGGGCGATAATCATATTCAGTGTCTTTGCTCTGACAGGCTACAAGCTTTACCGCGTCAGACAAAATAGCAGGAGAGATTACCTGGAGATAACCGATTCCCCTATCAAATGAGTGCCAATAATGCCGTAAAATTGTCAGAAAATGTTAAATGTAAGCAAGCGCAGAGCTCAACTCTATGAATGTCAAGCAATGTGCAATGTTTTTGTATCGTGGTGTTGAAAGATGGTTATTTGTGTTACCTTCTCTTGGAATATCGTGTGGAATAAAATGTGCGGCAGACAATTTTAGAGAGTATGTACTTATTAATGACTGATACCCAGTGTTACATTTACATACAGTACTCCATTTCCCTCCCATGTAGGAGAATGAGTAAGTTTGCATGTATATTTTGTCCAGAAGTCTGAAAGGTTTTGTCCAGCTACGATATTAATCCTTCGGTATAGAAACTAATGAAATTAGTGATTTTAATAAAAGCATTGTCGTGAATATTGCACAAATTATAATTTTATAGTCAGTTGAAGTGCATAACTTACTTACATGATTGGATTCCTTACCATGGGACACTGGCCCAGTGAAATTGTTTGCTTTCAAATCTTAAAATATAAAATTTATGAAGATTTGGCTTTCTTTCTGTTTTGTTTAGTTGAAAAATTGTCTGAATGACAAGTGTATGCAACAAGGAGAGCAGCCTGAGCCAGAAATTTATATAAAAGCAAAACCATAATTTCATTTGTGTTCATGTAACTCTTGACCTAATCTGTTTCCAGATTAGTCTCATTTCACTTCAAGCAAGCGGTGTTATTGTTGCATTTCTTTTGCAGATGTCAAGCAGAGCAGAATGTATCATTGACAATGATTTCTGAATGCCCTTCCAATTTGTTTCATTAGCTCATAATGTGTTAATTGTCAGGTGAAGCCTCTATGCCCCTGAGTTAGGGGGAGTAAATCAGCAGGATTCCTTGTTACTATCCAACAGCCTCTGGTGGAGGTGCACAAATATGAGCGAAAATAGAATTTGGGCTCAACTACAATGTGCTCTATGGTTGAACAGCCCGGTCATGAATAGCGGTTACTTGGGTACATTGTATAGCATCCATGGACCTGTAGAGAGAAAGGAGGAAAGGAAGAAAATTGATGAGGGCAACAAGCTACAAGACAACTATTGTGGTGTACACGTGGATTTTTCGAGATTATCTACTGAGCAAGTGAAAATAACATTGGACTTCTTAAATCAGTGATGTTGCATACATTGTATTAACTGAATGGATTTTGTTTGTAATAAGTAAAATTATAACATTATGTAAAATCTATTGGTTGTAGCCAGTTCGTCCAGTAAACCTATTATTACGCATAATTTACGATCTGGCACTGACTCCCATTTCAGTTTTAATTGGGACTACTATATTTGTATTGTTTACAAATTTAATGGATATAATCCTTGTTTCTTGATAAAGAGGAAAATGATGATGACTATTCTGAGTAAATCATGTTCATGTTCTTCTGTTACTCATTCTGCTGTTGTTATTGTACAGGTAATCCCAAAGAACTTCTATGCGTGTTTGTGTGTCTGTTTTGAGGTATGTAAATGTCTTGAACAGCTTCTAACTATTTCTATATTGCTTTTGATTTCTTGTTGATGATTATACTATATATTGTATTTTTATTAATGGTAATTAAAAAAAAGTAGTGCCAAAAATGGTTCTGTAGCTACTTCAAAGATTTTTCTCTGTAATCTGAAACTGCTGTTGCCAGCCTTGTTTGTTTTTTGGCTAGCTCTATGTTATGGACACCCAGTATGTTTGTGTTGTGGTACTCCTACAGTTTATTCATCTAAAACCACATAGCTTGCTATTGAAAGGACTATCTGGCAAGCTTGCCACTTGCTTGTCTAGCTAACACTACCCTAAACATCAAAACTTTGGGTTACATGATTAACAGGCGCCAAGTGGGATGAATGCTTGCCCCCAGTTTACAACCTCCAAGTCCTGCCTATAACCCTGGGTAGTTGGTCTGTCATCAGCAATGCCTTGGAGTACGTTGGAGCCGCCAGGCTCATCATCTTAGTTATGTGGCAAATAGAAGTAAACCATTCCATCAAAGGGTTCATTAAACTTTGGGCACTTGATATTGGATTGTATAGTTGGCTGCACATCACTCAGCACTGGAGCACAACAGAGCTCCACACATATTCCATGCTCAAACTGCAATCTGAACGCCAGTTGCACAAGGATCATGCGTCACAAATGTGATGCATTTCCTGATGATCATTTCAAGTGGCAGCTGCAGAGACTTGAGAGCAGGTGAGCTGCCGGTCTGCCCTTTTTGACAAGGAATAGTAAGTACATCAACCGCAGGACTGAAACGAGCAGCAGGTAACGATTCTCAAAATAGGGATGAGAAAAATTAAATCATGGATGGTTAAGGTAACGATCCTTAACAACAGATGCCATTTGTAAATCATCCCAGTATCTACCTTTTCGTTTTATTCATTTGGCTGACATGACTAGTAAGGAAATTGACTATGTCATTAAAATATTACGAGCAAGATCTGTGTTGTGTTCTGCAGCTTTCTAAGAGTCACATGGGTAGGACAGAGCTGGTGGTACTTGTGACAAATCATCTTCCAGGTAATTGACCAACTGTTCCATATTTTCCACCATATTTCCCCAATTGTGCTATCTGAATGCTGAGCCCAATATGACCTCTTGCCAGAGATATTTGAGCTTTGGGCAAGTTTTGTCAACGGCAGCCCCTGGCCATTATAGCATTTCCATTAACTGTCTGCTCAATACCGTGTATGGTTGCACAATATTCTAATTACATTTTTCCATTTTCCTTTGATAGAATAGTTAACAGATTTCTTAAGAAATGTACAACTATTGAATTTCTAAAACATCAAATATGCTGATCTTAACACGGTTGATATTTTAAATATTCAGTAATTACAATAATTATTCTTATTAAGAAATGAATACGTTGAATACTGCATTTAAGACCTCCACTGTTTCTTTAGATTGATGGGCAATCTGATAAACATTAGCAGAAAACACCAGCGGATCATTTAAATGTGATCAAACTGGTTAAGTAATAAATATTCAGCCATATTAAAGCACTTCATGCAATTCATGCAATGCTCGTTGTTGTTGTTTCAAATGAACTAATCCTGTGTCTATACTGCTTGCAGCAGAGTGACTCAATGCCGAATGAAGGAAATAGAGAGTCACTGATTTACACTCCCTGCTCTGTATTGCCACCCGCGCCCCCCCCCCCACACCCCCCCCAAAACACACACACTTAATTTCATGCACCATCGAATATTCTGGTATAGCCAAGAAACTGTATTGCTAGCAGTTTATATATGGCTTAATTTCACAGATGCACACTTCTTCTTGGTGTAAGCTATGATTGCTCATGTAAAACATACACACTGTGAGCTGTCTTTGAGCGCCACTTAGAAAGAAGGCAATGCTGATGACAAAATATACTTTCCATTAAGATGTTGCAGTTGAGCATTGTCACAAGGTCACCGAAATGATTTCTGTCAAATGATGAATTGTTTTCATGTAACAAGCAATATCCATCGTGATGGATTACAAAAAAGGCATTAGCAAAACAAAATAAATTGTACTTGTATTAATTATTGTAGAAATATTACTTCATTACTTCCATATTGTTTGTCAGTACAGAGCTGTGCTTGGCAATAATAGTTCTTTGCCTTTAATGATTCGATCCTGTAACAGAATTACATCAATTCAGAATGTTTTCACATATTGCATTTATTGCTGCAGTATCTATTGATATTGTTCAGATACAGCTCGACTGGCAAAATTGATTGTACAGTTCAGTTACTAATTCTAGAATTATGCTTATTGCAGGTCATTGATAGAGCTATACTAATAACTCACTGGTTTATGATGTGCAAACATACGGCATGAACATAATTTTTTGTGACAAATCTATTCTTACAGACTCATTATAATGAAGATCTTATGTAACAATTTTCATTTTTAAGCCTTGGGATATGAGAACAGCTGGATTGCAGAAAAAAACAAGCACGTCTCCTGTTGTACTAATTAGGATCCAAATTCTCCGGGTGAATTGGTAGCTATGGTGGTTGTTAGAATAATGAGCTGCACCAGACAGAAATAGATTTGTGCCTGTGGGTCTTTCTAGTATTGTAGTGTGTTCACCTCAGTTGGATGACATCAAGTGACAGAAGAAAGTTGAAAAGGATTCCCATCCCCTTTTCCTAATGTACATGAATTAACTTGTTGTAGTTACATTTGCAGACACTCACCAAGCTGGGAGGAGAGGGGCAGTGGTGAAGGAAGGAATGTAAACAGAGAAGACACAGCCGAGCTCTTCCCAAGAGAACTTGATGGTATATGAACTCAGGCTGATCAGTGGTAAATGCCAAATGTTGACATATTGGAAATAAAACTAGGAGGCATATGCACTCCTGGATACGATACAACTTGTTAATGGTGAAGTTGAAAGAGATCTGTTGATTAACTTTCCTCACGAAGTTCAAAAAAATATTGTGTTCATCTAAAAAAAAATTATAGATTTACTGTGTTCCCTTTAAGTCATAATTCTTTCCTTGCCCGTAAGATTGATAGATCACCTGCTCCCAGGTTTCTGCACTGGCCAGCATTCTGCTCCACACCCGCAAGGTGGAACACGCACTCACTGATGTTCAAAACAAGGTATATCAGAGCCACAAAAGGAGCTATTTTGCCGATGACGAGTCACCAGTGGACTGGCTCATTGAAAAGGCTCAGGATTGCATTGTGAAATGGGGCTCTGATTCATGGAGGCGCCAAAAAAAATAAGAAATGGACAAGTACTGTATTTCTTTCCATCCTCACCCACCCACTTGCTGAGAACTGAGAGGATGATTCACGGCTCCCACTTCGTGACTGCACACGACGACTGGAACCGACTCCACCACGACTCCCAGGCACCCAGTGCACTCCTGTCTAGCAGTTTGGTGGCACGGTTGCATTTTGGGGAGGTCGAGAATTCCGTCGAGGAGGCACTCAGGAAATTTTCCGTACAGCCAGTCTGCCCCTGATACCAGTCATCCCCCGTCCTATTACTTCTAATATCATTACCCCTACCAGCATTTTTTCTTTTCAGCTTTCATTATGGAATGCAAAATCAGTGAAATAACTTAATTAAATGCTCTCCAGTGCATGTGAAGAATGATAGGAATACTGTGTGGGTATTTTCGGTAGCTTTTTATTCATTAAGTTCATTGTGATGAATGAAGTCAGGGCACTGAGTCTGTGGTTGGGTGCTCCAAATTAGTGAGATTTATGCTGTACTGTGAAGCTGTCAAATGCCACAAAATTATTCATTTTCTGGAATGCTTTCCATTCTATAAAGTCATGTTTTTTTTCCACCTCAATCTCCAGGCCTGAAAAAGACCTGGAAAATTCCACTCGTTCAGAGTGAAATTGTTATCCAGACTTCAGAAAGGGAAGACCATGGCAAATTGTCAGCTTATAAATAAAATTATCACTG